TATTTTTTTTTTTTTTTTTTCCCCTAAAAAGTTTTTTTTTTTTTTTTTTTTTTTTTGTAATATTCTCTTAAGAGATTATTACAGAGAGTAGTAAGCTATAACGAACACGTGATGTGATGGCAAGCAAAAAATCCCAGAATAATTGCCTTAACCGCCGTTTTCGTGGTAAAATATAATTTATCATTCTTCTATGAGTTGTTTACAATGTATTTATTGTGAAATATGGATATCATACGAACAGTTGTTATCCCTTTTAGTTCTGCAAGACGTTGGTGCTTCACACAAAAAATATTAACATCAATAAAAATAACATTTTAAGGGAACGGGCATGAAGTAATCAGAAAGCATACTTCTAATTATTTCACCCTCCTTATTTTCGGCCATTAACATAAAAGTCATAAAAATGATTTCAGAGCCCGCATCGGCATTCTTATACAGCAGTAAAATCTCCACGACGTATATATAAAACAAAGTGACCAAACGCGGGGTGCATCTACTTTACATACTTCAGCTTATTGTATTGGTTTTCTGCCGCGAGCCATGGGAACATTTTATATTTATTTCATATGATAGCTATATAATAAAGTGACTCGAGTAGCCGGTGGTTTGAGAGAGCCCGGGCTCTTTATTTCGTCAGTACTTACTCAAGTGTATAACTGATGGCGTAAGTACTACACATAAGATAAAACACGCGCATAAAGTCAAACTACTACATCACAATAGCATGCACAGCACAGTCGAACAGATACCGCCTGGTATACATGTAGTAACCGGCTAAAACCAGTGTGGCCATTGCACTAGTAGTACGAGCTCGAGTGGCCCTCAGCGACAATTTATGTACAGCTAAAAAGGATTACTATTTCATGAATAATCATCTTAGATAAAATGTGAGTCTTGTAAGTTGCTATCACATGTATAGGGGCCTATGCATTTCTCCCGGTGATGAGTTGCATTCAAGGAGCATCTGACAATTGCTCACACTTTTAAAAGTATAATATAAAGTTTAATTTAAAAATTATAACCCTGTAACCAGGCGCACGCTTGATGGCGGTCAGGAATATTGGGCGGGGCATTAATTTGCATACAAACATGTCAATTACAGATGCCAGTTACAGCATACCTGTGTGTTTTACTATAGTTCTAAAGAGGGTTAAGTTACAATAGCATCCTACACCCCATTTCCAGAGATTAGATCGACCTACTTTAGATCGACCTAACTCCCTGGGGGTTCACGCTAAATAGCTGTCAGCCGGGCGGACACGAAAGTTAATTACCCCTTACAGCTTGTAGTAGGCGGGACGGACATTTAAGTCGGATTATCTGATAGATCGATCTAAAATCTATGGGAATAGAGCCCTAGTCAAAGGTGCATCTACGCTATTGCTTAACGTATTTTTTTAGTTTCTTTTACGCGTGCCGGGGAAACCCTTCATCTTTATTCAATAATACACCAATAAAAATGCGCTCCGTTGTCAGTTCGACTTGAGTGTCACTACGACACGACAACCATCAGATCGTTGACAAAAACATGTTAAAATTAACGGGGTTCCCTTGCGTCGCTGTCCGTCCGTCTCATCTGACCGCTCATCCCCGCCCCAGTGAAGAAGGGAAACGAAGTGTTACTCGGGCGCAGTGAAGAAGGTCATGTTTTGACTTGGTGCAACGGGCGTAATAAACAGGGAGAGAAAACCTCGCACTTCAGTTTACGACAATCGTAGCGGAACAAATTAACGACCCGTTCATGCAACCGGACCCCTATAATATATGCATATAGGCCACTGTTCATATTACAATTATAGTTTCTGCTTCGGGACACGGACTCATTTCACTGATATTCCGTGCGATAGCAAGCACTGCTGTGTGCAGTACACGCAGATACAACGCTAAGGATTCTACTCTCATTTGCCGGTTCACAGAAATCTAAAGGGCGAGCCAGCTAGCAAGCATGGCATCGCTGAAATACATGTATAACATATTGAGGGTCTGCTCAGTTGTTAAATGGCTGATTCCGTGTATTACTGTCGGGCTTATGTGGATGCTCATCCCTGCGCCACTGGAGCAAGGAAACATGAAGCACACCTTGAAGAAGTGGACCCGGTTTGAGGAAAACAAGGCGAAGAGCGCCTCGGAAAGATGGGACTCGTTTTCTTTTGATCTCGAAACAAGATACCTGGTGCTGAAGGAGAGGGACTACACCCACGTAAAGGGGAAAAAATTCGTGTATTTATCGCAGGGGCCGACAGTCCCAAAGGGAGGCATTAAAGGGCTAAAAGAGACGCCACAAAGAGATGTCTTCTGGTTGACTTTTGCAGACAAGACAGGTGACATATATGCGCCTAAAGGAACCTCCCTCTCGGCCGGTAGAAATGCTCTTCTTCGTTACGCAGTTCATCTAGCGTCACAGACACCAGACAAAGGATACCTTTACTACATCTTCGCCGACGATGACGTTGTTTTGTCGGTACGAAACAGCACGGGGGTGAATTGGAAACCATGGGAAGAAATGAGCAATGATCCGTTCCAAAGGTTTGAAGAGTTCCTTCTTTATTTTCAGCCTGCAGTGAGTTACGGTGTCTACCCCCAATCGGCACGGCAAAACATACAAATAGTGAAACCGAACACGCCCGCTAACGTGAACTGGATTTTTGATGACTGTTTTGTGGCTTTCCATAGAGATACTTTGTCGTTTGTCTTACCATGGGATACATATTTCGACTACAACAATTGGCTAGCCGCTCCTTTCATGGCACGCCATATGCCGGCCATTCTATATCATTCTTACCGCTACCAATGTAACTCCATTTCTGTAGTCAACCCCATCAGCGACAGGCCTATTTCCAAGAAGGAATACTTAAAGCATTTGGACTTCCGTCAACCGGTGAAATACATCCAGAAAGCTTTATTGAAATATCAGAAACAGAACAGAGAACCAAATGAGCTAAGAAACGCCGTGCTTCTCCGAGGCGAAGTTGGCGATGGGTACCAAGGCCCCAATGGGGCCGTCCCCGGAGAGCCGAAAATGAAGTCTCGTAATATCTCGTACTTGGTCACGGACCATTTCATAGAAAACTTCTGGGATTTAACTCAGCCTTTAGTGCAACAGAAGCTGTCATGGAGAGCTAATCCCGATGTGAGGAAGATCTTGGATCTGGATCGCCCGGACGCCTTCCCACCATTTGTGGCGGACTCGATTTACTGCACTGGGCCCCAAAAGTGTACCGTTACACCCCTAACGTAGAATCTGGACCCCAATAGTGTACCGTTACACTCCTAACGTAGACTCTTAAGAGATATAAAAAAACGCACTGCATGTACTGGCTACATTTTGGTAGTAGTAGTAGTTTATTTTTATGTAGGTGTGGCAACATAAACAACATAATGTCCAATTAAAAGACACACAAACGTACACAGAGCTTGTTGGACATTGCTGCTGATAAAGTATACATGTAGATACTGGGAACCAGTATTCAGTGAATTTTGATATTTGTAGGACGTATAACTACATGTAGCATAACACACTAAGAAATAATATGTTACCTCAAACATTCTTATAAGATAAAATTTGATTTACCAGTCAGTGCTATGAACACATGTAAGCCTTCATGTAGATTTCGTGGTAAAAAGAGGACCGCTTTCTTCCGTACTAACCACCACCACCCACCCACCCAACCCCCACCCCCGATACCCACTTTCAAATAGATAGATGCAAATCTGAGAATAATATTAAAATTACCACTAAAAGGCACTCTCCATCAGGGCCTTAGATTGATCTTTCACTCAATAGACCTATTTTTGGATGTGACCCTGGTTGATTTACATACATGTTTCACTGCTGTGACCCTGGCAGTAAAGAATTGTCATTAATTAGCCAGAGACTTTCTGCGAATATCTTGTGAAAAATCAATGTGGCCCAGGTAGTAGGAAGTTACTAGGCGCGTTTTGCATAATCATTACATGTACACTAACGGCGCTTATCAACACTGCATTAATTTAACGACCGCGGTGTTTTTTGGTGACGTCACGGTATTTTGTGCACTTACTAAACGCTTGAGACGGAGGTGCACTGTCGTTCCCACAATTTTCCTCAGTTAAAAAAAGCTGAACATAAAATTTGGTTTTAATTACTTGCAAAACGTATGTTGAGAGTATCTGAACTTTATCCGCCAACAGGTAATTTGTTTAAAACAATTAGGAGGTCATAAATATGAATTCTCGGGTGGAATAAATAGGCAAAATAAATGCTCCAACTTTGTGTATGCCAGCACAGTGAAATTATTAATGAGATTCACAGCCCCACAGTAAATTCAAAATGTTATGCAAACATTACGAAAACGTTTCCAATAATGCAGTGATAATGTTTCAGAAATTTTAAGGGTGTCACACAGTCCGGTTTTAAATGGGTGTTGAAAATATAATAATAATTTGTTCACGAGTATTGTGAATACAGGCCGTTTGTGTTTTCGAGAAGCGTCCGTGAAATGTATCCTCCCCAAGGAGGCGAGAACGAATATAGTGTGCAACAGGGCCATAAATGACCAGGGATCTCTGACCTAAATTAAAAAAAATAGATAAAAAATTATAATAAGAAATAGATAAATAAAAAAGTGTATAACTTCAACCTTCGGGTTGCGATATTTCAAATAAAGATTATTATTATTATTATTATAAACGCCTAAAACCGTGATTTCCTGGCGCGAACATAAAAATCCTGCGAGCACCGCAATACTATAATGTATGTATACAGTAGGCCTAACTTTATGCATGCCATCATTTGAAAATGTCTATACCGCTTAAATAACGAATTGAATATTTAAGGTTAATAATTTCAATGTTGGTAATATACTTTATATCTACTTCCTAAGTTTTCACATGATCATTTTACAACTAATGATGTCGAACCGAGGTGGTCTTTAAAAGTTTTGTTCAGTATACGTGTAACTTCTCCTGACTTATTTTCATACATCGACCGGTTGTTTTCCACATAAAAACATCCACAAGATTGCGGAAAAGAGCAGTTCTAAGACAGTGGTCTCGTTTGAGTGCATCAGCTAGCTCAAAGACAAGGCTGAGAGACTGTGATCTCATATGTAGAGATAGAGATAGAGAGTGCCAGAGAGTGAACCAAAGCGATCTTTAAAATTTTTGTTCAGTATAACTTCTCCCAACTTATTTTCATAAATCGGTCAATTGTTTTCCACATAAAAGTATCCCCACGGTTACGGAAAAGAGAAGAAGACAGGGGTCTCTTCTGGGTACATCTGCTGTGAACAATAACAACATGGCATCTAATCACAGTCGTAATTCTGCGCAATAGCTCAACCCCAGGTAACACAGAACGTTATTTTTTGGTAATATAAACGTTATGGTAACGTTATGAAAACGTTCTGTGTTGGCTGGGACAGTCTTCCAGCAGGTCCTTGGTGTTTCCAGAGGATTGCCACCCCCCTTTTACTCGCTGAAAGACGTACTTTTGAAAATTGACGGCGCAATTTGGGGCTTAAAATAAATAAATAAATAAATAAATAAATAAATAAATAAATAAATAAATAAATAATTAGAAAACTTATAAGTAAATTTTAAAATAAATAAATAAATGAATAAATACGAAAATTTAAAAATAAACGAAAAAAGTAATGCATGCATGAAAAAATAAATAAACTAAAGAGATATAAATAAATAAATAAATAAATAAATAAATAAATAAATAAATAAATAAATCACCACGCTACCTCAGACTGGACCGTTTCAGCCATCATGCTCCTATCAAAAACCCAGCGGTCACATTTTTCGGTACTCGTGACATTGGTGGCAGAGGAGGAGTTGGGTGGGATGTTAAGCAAGCAGTGATCTTTCCCGTCCAGGGCCAGCGGGTCGAGGACATATGATGCGTTCACCATTGCGTCGTGCCACTCGCCCTGAGACTCGTAGGTGTCGTTGGGCATATCGGGCAACGCGCATCTGAATTAATAATAATTATTATTATTATAACTCAACAATTTAATTTAATATTTATCTGCAACATTTTAACTGACTATCGCTCAACTTGTATATTATGCATACAATACAAGAACAATCTAAATATATTGATATAAGAAGTACATGTATATTTCACTAATGCGGCCTGCTTCACACATGACTTTTAGATTAAAAGTCAAAAATTGGTCTAAGCAAGTATTATAAAATGAAGCCGACTAAGCTGCGTTTTCGAGTCTAAAAAGTTTGCGTTTCCTTTCTTATTTGTAATTGAGCCCATGGAGCAAGCTGTGATTGTTTATGCAGTGGTTTGTGCTACCAGTAATGACAAACTGACAATAGCCGCTTTTCATATGTCAACTATATCCACTGAGGGTCTAAACGGTTTTCGTAGTCAGCTGTCCGAATTTAGCTGATTAAAGTGTGCAACGAAAGGCTCATCAAATCGGGGCGTAAGTAGACTCAGCACCAGTGTGATATTCCACGGGTACATTTGGGACGAAAAAAAAAAAGCCAAATGCCGAACTCACCTCAATGGAAGGCCATAGTTAATGAAGATGCCGAACTCACCTAAACGGCAGCGCGTAATGGATGAAGACGATGTTCATCACACCTAACGCAATCACCACAATCGGGAGGCAGGTGAGGACGTAGGCGCGGATCTGAAACTTGCCAAAATCTCCGAGTTTACTGATCACCCTGTCTATTGCCTCTCCGTCCATTCTTTCACTGATCTGTAATAAATATAAATATATATAAAATATGTATACATATTAGGCTCTATTCCCATAGGTTTTGGATCGATCTATCCCCGCGGGGAGTCTCACTAGATTACTTTCAGATAATCCGACTTAAATGTCCGTCCCGCCTACTACAAGCTGTAAGGGGGTAATTAACTTTCGTGTACGCCCGGCTGACAGCTATTTAGCGTGAACCCCCAGGGAGTTAGGTCGATCTAAAGTAGGTCGATCTAATCTATGGAAATGGGGTGTTAGTGCGCATTCAGAACAACGGACTAACAGATCCGCGGATCAAATATGGCCGACCTACCTTAATGTTTGTTGCGTAATCTCCGCGGGGAATCTATTCAATGTCTAATCGGGAAATAAACGGCAAGCTTTTTGTGGGTCGCCATATTTGACCTGTAAGTCCGATAAACTGGATGCGATCTTAGTGTGTGTATTAAAACAGGTTGTGATAGTAGTTATACCTTGAAACAAATATCAATGCTAGGGACCATTCCCATAACCCTACCGTACTACTAGGATCGATTAATCTCCGAGGACATTCTCGCTAAATTGCATTCAGTTTAAGCGTGCATGAAAGCAGCTTCACTGGGCGTGCAAGACATCTAAGCCTCTTAAACTAAATGCAATTTAGCAAAAATTTCCCTCGGAGATAAATCGATCCTGCTAGTTCGGCAGTTTTATGGGAACCCAGTCCTTTACATCTTCAATGATCAAAGTATACTGCGATTTAATATAGATTAATTTTGATAAACATATTTAAAAACATAAAAACAAAAAAAAAATCATGTGTATCGCCGTGTCTTTACCCTTCTTTTCATCAGTTTGTTGGTCTGTAATATTGAACGTTATGTAAAATATGTAAACGTGTAAAAAAGGGAAAAATGGGTCACCTTTTTATGTCTCTCCTTTTATCTTTAAGCAGTTCTGAAAATAATAATGTAAAATATAAGCGAATATAAAAATAAAAACACAGTCTGTGACAATGCCTTTCAATTTATCTTTCGGGAAATCTGTATTATGAAGCATTCGTGCCTATAAAGTGACGTTTGTGGAATTATGTTTGCTATACTACCTGCAGTGCTGGTAGGTTGGCTTGTATAGAACGCAGGGGCGGATTTAGGGGGTCTTCTGGGTCTTCCAGAACACGGTCAGATTTTCAAGTTTACATTGACGGGTATCTAATTATTTCTGTCGGAAGACGGTCAAAAAATGGAGGATGGATCAACAAAGATAATTTGGAAGACTGTCAGAAAATAACTCTGGATCCGCCCCTGAACATTGAACTTCAATGATCTGTATAGCACAATCTACTTAATACACAAATGACATAATCTCACTTTTTTTTTGAATTTATAAAGTTTTCATCTGTACCGGGAAAATCTTAACTCTAATTTCAAGTATATTCCAAGCAAACACCGAAAGTTGTTTTTAAATTACAATAACGTTTTTTGGCTATATTTTAACTTTACCGTAACGTGGACATAACGTTTCTGGTTATATTCACGTTATGGTAACGTTATAATAGCGTCCTGTGTTTGCAGGTTAAACCAGATCACTTCCCATGGGATACACAACCGGTGTAACGAAAGTGAGGGTCCGTGTGACAGAAAGTCCGCCCTCCATTAAGTTATAATGGTTAGGGTTGGCTTGACTTACAGGCCTACCCAACTACCAGACTCGGCACCGAATGATCCTGAATTCACCGGTAAATCGGACCACACTACCCGTTTTCAAGGTGTGTGTCAGATCGCATTACACAGTATCACACGCGACACCGCTCTTGCCTAGTACGCGATGTGATAGTGACGATTCTCAGTGGGGTTGAAAAGCATTGCATCACCACTCAAAATTTGTTCAGGGTATGATACTGTGTAATGCGTACTGACACACACCTTGAAACCGGTGAATTCAGGATCATTCGGTGCCGAGTCTGGTAGTTGGGTTGGCCTGACTTAGGTGGGTCAAAATCTAGGGAGGCTTACCTGTAAAAATGAATGGGAAGCGGACTCTACATGTATATTACGGGGGACTCTCCGTTACGTTACACCGGGACGCACAATGTCAAGTGTTCTGGCCCCAGTTTCGAAAAAAAAAAATGCCCTCTGGCTAAAAACTTAATTGCCAAGGTTACATGGTCACATGGGCACATCTTACCCTATCAGGAGCGTTGTAACAGTACTCCCATGGAAATCTTAGTTTACTAAGCCAGAGAACTGACTTAATTTTTTTATTACATTTTGTGTTATATTTGCATATTTCTGACGTGCCCAGTATTTTTACTGTTTTATACTTTGGTGCCCTCCAGTTTGGAAAGTAATCAACAACAATTTAAAAAGTTATATAAAACTGCGATGCATATACACTGTACTTCACAGAAAGCACGAATTGTGTCACTGACGCGACTCGGAGACAGCGAGAGAGAGAGAGAGAGAGAGAGAGAGAGAGAGAGGGGACTTTTTTGTAGTAGGATCCTGATCTCACGTCGATGGAACCTTCTTTAAGATCAGGGCATGGTCTTGCGTACCTACCCGTTCTAGAAAATGTCAACGACCTGTTTGCTATGGGACTGTGTACGGTAGTGCTTCCTCTGTTAGTCTTGTTGCATAAGTTAATACTTCAGCGTCTTAAGACCCGAAGACCAAGTTTACTGGATCGGCCCTTCTGTTCAAGTCCAAACTATATGTTCAAATCGGTACAAAATTGCGGTGTCCCAGTTGGGTGAGTCTATTATCTATTTATTGCGCACACCTTAAATATCCTCGATGAAGGAGATAGGCCTCATAGCAGAGGTAGAAGGACTCTTAGGGATTCTCACGCTCGTAACTTTGTCGATGTCATTCAAACTTCAGTAGCAATTGCTCGAGCTGTGTCAAAAAAAGAGACCTTCAGTACAACACACCGCTGATAAGTTCCTATATATCTTGCTTATTCTTTTCGCACACGTAAAACTTCAATGGTAAATGGTCCACACACAACGCCAGTACTGTACAAGTATTATGACAAGGAAGGCCTACTGTTGAAATACGGCCGAGTGCCTTGTTCGCTTTATGTTTGCCCTTCTAGTATTTGTCCACTGTCAGATAGAGCGGCGTTGAACTAGGTTGGGAGGTCTCTCTTTTTCAGTCTTGTGTAGCATGCCCTCAACTTTGTCTGGGCTTGTTCACAGTACTCGCCTAGACTGATACTGGTTCGATTTGAGTGTCGCAGCTTGTTATCAGAACATAGGGTCCGTCGAATTTGTCTTAGTGTGAACGCATCTGAGAGGTCTTAAGGTAGCTCTTGAAAAACTTCTTTTGCTCTTCAGAAAACGCTCTACTTGAATTAGGAGATGCCGGGTCAACGTGAGTCCCTAACTAAATTAACAGAGAAGTGCAGGTGACGTTCCTCGTCTTTGCTATCCCTTCAACAAACTTATGTCAATATTGGTGTTAGTTCTGCTGGTGATACGAGTGTCAACTGTCACACAGAGAGAGAAGGCACGACGCTGTTAGCCCCAAATGCCTAATCTTCGTTTGTCCTCGGGCGCAGTCACACGCGACACGGACGGTTCGTGACTGAGTAGACATAAATGACGCACAACTCGGGGTTGAACAGCTTCGACCGGTACGCGTGCCCACCCCCTTTCTTAAATTAACAGGTGGCTTGTCAACTAACAATAAATATGCTGATCACATACACCTTGATTTTATTAATATCGCTGATGTCACTGAAATCGACTCGGATTTAGAACCATCATGGCATACATGGAACGCTATCTTTGTCAACCTTAAATAATAGGTGGACGGCGTTCAACATGCTGAGGGAACACCGCCTTGATTACAATACACTATCTACGTCATTCAAATAGACTCGGAGATCTGGGACGAGAGTAAACACGGCATATATCAATATAAAGAGTTCTATAAGGTTACGGTACAAGTGTCCTAATCCCACGACCCAATTTGCATTTAGACCCCATTCCCATAAACAGCATTGGTCTACATTGCGGGGACTCTTGCTGAGTGCAATCAGATTTTCTGAGTGACACGCCTCATCTTGTTTCTAACGTACTAGTATAGTCACGAGATAAATCTGTAATTCTACTCAACGCTAGGGAGAGGCGTTTCATTCCATTAAGCTGATTGCATTCAGCGAAAGTCCCCCCAGAGTTGGATCGATCTTCGTAGACCGATGGCGCAATGGGAATAGGACCTTAGTTTACAGATCCAACTATTTGGGGCTAGAGTGAACGCGGCCAATATATATATAAAGAGTTCTATAAGGTTACGGTGCAAATGTTCTCATCCCACGACCCAATTTGCATTTGAGTTTGAGGTTGAAAAGAACTGTGCTTTATCGGCTTACCTGTCACGATTTTATAAGCTACAGGCCCGTAGCCAGGGGTGGTTCGGGGTGGTTCATAAGAAACCCCTCCCCCCCTTTTTTTTCGCCAGGAAGGAGCCCCTCTGGGTAAGATTTTATCTAAGTTCACGAAGGTTTCATGGTAAAAAAAAGTCCACTTTTCCAGAAAAAGAACCCGTCTTTTTGAATCACTGGCTACAGGCCTGAGCTATCTATTCATTTACACAAAACGCGAGGATGCGTGGATCCTGTTACACCGCTGCTTGTCACCCCTTTCAGAACGCATTTAGGTTCATTCAATCGCATAAATATGTAACAAAAGAAAAGGCTGCGATATTTAAAGTACATAAGCACCCGTGTTTGTTAGTGGTGATGTTGACTATCAAATATTGCCTAAGACCCAATTTGCGGTGTAAAAGGTGTTTAAAAACGGTGTAGCAAGAGATTGAGGATGCAGATGATAAGAAATTTGCGAGGTAACAAGTCACATACATGTTTAAAAAAGTAGATGCGGGCAATTTTTCAGATTTTTGGAAAAGAAAAGGGTTGGGATGCTGCTATTTTATTTCTCTTCCTTTCTCTTGCTATTTTATTTCTCTTTGCTTTTTCTATAAGTGACCCGCTAGGAACCATATAGGCCTATACTTTGTACAGGTGACATTCGTCCCGGAATCTTAACCGAATACTCCGACTAACCATAACCTGTACCAGTACTAATCATACGCAGGCCCGTAGCCAGCAATTTCAAAAGAGGGGTTCTTTTTCTGAAAAAGTGGACCTTTTTCCATAAAAAACGTCATGAACCTATATCAGATTTTACCCAGAGTGGACCTTTTCCCACCAAAAGGGGCGGTTCTTTCGAACCCCCCGAACCCCCCCTGGCTACAGGCCTGATACGGGACCCCGGTTTTCCATTCCTTCTTCCACATCGACAGAAGGGGTTTCTCAGAAGCCAGGGGATGGTCACTTGTGTCCCACTGCCCCCCCCCCCCCCACCGTCACCCCTGTGTCCTTTATTGCGTGCAGGGTCAGGGTGGAACTGGACACTGGTCACACCCTTACAAAATGACCACGTGGACAAGGGGCCTTAAATGCCCTTTAACAGGATTGATTTTTTTACTAGATATTCATGTCTCTGGCTTATTTCCTGACAATTTTTGTAGCGTCCAGCGAGAATTTATAAACTGAAATGTAATTATATCCCTCAGCTGCGTTTTGTATAGACTAAACAGCAGTAGTATAAAGGATTTACGTGCCCTGTGATTCAATGTCCCGATTCCCGATAAACTCTGCCATCCCCTTGTTTGGTTGGGGCCGTAGCAATAGTCCGAAGGTTCATTAGTCCGAAGGTTCATTGGTCCGAATATTCACTATAGAACCTTCGGACCAATGAACCCTTGATTAAAAAATGAACCTTCGGACTATCGAGACGCCCCCGTTTGGTTCACTCGAGCGCTATTAGCTAACCTACAAAAACGACCAACTTGCAAACTCTTTTGGATCTTGAAATATACTAAGTCGGCTTGCCAATAACTTCGTAATTTTAATGTCTTTATGTTAGAAAATACATTGTAGCGAGAATAAATCCAGCTGCAGCGGAATGTTACTGATATGTAGGTTTGTGCAAAATTTGGTAATATCATATGGCAATGTGCCGATTCTTCTCTTTGACTATTCATTTTTTTTTTTTTTTCAAAATATACATTGGAGCATTTTGCTATATAACGCTCCGGTGCCCACACACATTAACTAAACCAGTTAGCTTAAATTGCACCTTAAGTTACAAAAGACGCACCTGGACGCTGTATGAGCGTAGGCAAACCGGTGTGACAGGAATGGTAGTCCGCTTAGAACCGTAGTCCTTTTCCCATTACTTTGTACAGGTGGCATTCGTCTTACACCGGGGTACGTACGGGGTACTAAACCCAATACAGGGGCGGATCCAGAGATATTTTCTGACAGGCTTCCAAATTATCTTTATTGATCCATCCTCCATTTTCGACCGTCTTCCGACAGAAAAAGATTATAAACTTTAAAACCTGACCGTCTTCCGTAAATCCGTCCCTGCAATACTCCAACAAACCCTGACCTGTACTAATCATATAGGAACCCGGACTTCTATTCCTACATGTAGGACTACCATTCCTGTCACACCTTTCAGAACACATTTCGGCTTTTTCAGATGGATATGGATCATTATGCTCCACTTAGATCCAGTACGTTTTGGTTAGTCAGTACAGGTACTCTCATGGCGCCCGTCTTTTTATAAAAAAAGTCGGCATATTTCATTTTGCCGGACCACTACTGTTTGTCTTGAGTTCCTGACGGAAGTTTCCTATAGGTCCTTGTATAGGACGCCTTATTAGTAATTGGCCCGAAAACCTATATGGCCCTCAGGCCCGTAGCCAGCAATTTCAGAGGGTGGGGGTTCGTTTTCTGAAAAAAATTGGACCTTTCACCATAAAATCCTCAAGTACATAGATTAAATTTTACCCAGAGTGGACCTTTTCCCAGCAAAAAGGGTGGTTCTTTCGAACCCCCCGAACCCCCTCCCCCTGGCTACGGGCCTGGCCCTAGAGGGCGTATGATGCCAACAGAATTCTTTTAGAGCGCATTCAGTTGTATGCGCAATGTTTTGTGACAATTATCAGAATGATTTTTTAGAAAATAATTTTATGTTAAAATAGAATAGCCAGATTCAAAATTGGGAGAATGCGGTGCTCTAATTTACATCCTTGCATTAGATGCATTAAGTACAAGTTTTAGTGGCACTTTTCATTGTCAAATGTAAACACTTAAGATTTCTAATTAATTTGCATAATTACTAACAGATCTGCGCATCAAATATGGCGACCCGCTTGAAAGCTTGCCGCTTATTTCCCGATTAGGTACTGAATACATTCCCCGCGGGGATTACGCAACAAGTATTCAAATGTTACTCCGCTGTCCTGAATGCGCTCTTAGAATCCCATAGAGGCCCGTAGCACGTCCCCTTTAAAAAATTTTCGTAAGGCTCAATATATTTTATGAGGATGGGATTAAAAGTTGAAACCAATTTTCGGTCTTAAGTTATTTGTAAAACAGCGCTTTGGTCTTATGAAAGGAACTAACTTTCTGTATGCAGTTATGCGTCCTTAATGACGCGTTTCTTCTATAGATGGGTGGATCCTTTAAGGTAATAATAGGTATCCGATGATTAAAATTAAATTAAAGGGCAATGCAATGACCCTAGAAAATTATTTTTTACGTCAGCTTTTTTCTTAGGTTGCTTGTGTTGTGAACAGTGCTTGGTGTTCAGTTATTTATTCATTTATTTATTACTGTATTGGCTACAGTTTTGTGCTCTCAGAGATGAAAAATATATGTCAAATGACTTGATTGTGGACCACATATTTCTAAAAGCTATTTAAAACAATATGGCAAAGTCCGTTTTTACAGCCTGCTTTCTAACCATATCAGTCTAAGCATAGACCAAGAACTTCAGTCTCATTCTGCAACCGGCCTAAGTTTTCTTTTATTATTATTATTTTTTTTAAGTTCAACCGATTTAAAGATTGTAAACTTGCTATCTTGCACGATATATACGTTGAAGATTTGTAATAATGACAAATTCACAAACTTTCTTACCTTGTTGTTGTCACAGGGCTCAACTGCCAAATTGTCTCTATACTAAATCTATGTCTTTTAAAAAGGCTTTCATCCTCATACAGTTTTGAACTACAGCTACATCGGGACTCGACAGGTGTAGGTGTTGTTCACTCTCTCGCAAACCTCAGATTCGATAAAAATGTAGGAACTTGGCGCCGAAAACATTTGAATAACAACTGCCCTTAATTATCCGTCGCGCGGGCCTATTTTTTTTTTTTTTTAAGTTTAAACTTACCTTACCTTCCCCCAGAGGTGACAATTTCCCCTATACCTGCTGTTGCATGCCCTAACCGCCCTTCATCGATGTATTTAATTTACTCAAAATTCTACAAGGGGTCAATTCTTCCCGTCGCTTGTCTATTAACTGCTCATGTCTTGCATGGGAAGCGCAGCGGGCTTCATAACAATGACCACAAAAGTGAAAGACTGAAGAAGCAGTGAAGTATAGGACAGATACAATTGAGGCGAATGAGAAAAAATAAATCGAAAACCCATTACCGGGTCAAGTTTTAGGCTGGAAAGGAAGACGGTGTCATGTTACTGTGCGCTTGTCTTTTAGGGGAAATGTTTGTACTTTTGTTACGAAAGGATGTGCTTACTGCATGAAAGACGAAGGCATTCGTTTACTTGAACCTGCAAGTCAAACAATTTATGAAATGAAAAAATGACTGTATTTTTAATTTTCATATTTGTTTTGGAGCTTGTATTGCTGTTAAATATAGACAAAAGTGATGTGCCGCGTTGGCGACCGACCCCAACTAAAATGGGGAAAAATTGCATTTATTTAGATATATGGTATTTATTTAAATAGACAAAAAGCATGAAGTTTGGTATTAGATTGGTGATTGGGAAAGAATACAAATGACCCCATGAAAAACCTAAATGCTGTTGTTTGTGTGTTCTAAATTCGCCCACGCAGTGCATTTGGCATTTCAGCCACTCAAAAATATGTATCGCATTCAGCGAGAGTTCTCACGGAGTTGGATCGATCTACATAGAACGCCAATTTTATTGTAAATGCACCTTAAGGTGTAACGAAATCAACCGCATAAACAGTCAAGAGTATGGGCCTACTTATTATTACTGGTGTAATACAAAACAGCTTTGCTGCTAATTATTATTCCGAACCACTTATCTATGCAAATTATATAGCATGAACTTAGCTGCGTACATAGATGTACATGTAGTTGTCATTAATTGTTTAATTTATTGGTTTTGTGTTTGAACCTACTGTGCTATATCAAAGCCAACGCTGCGCATAGCCCTCTTTGGGAGGAACTGTTGAAATTATGAAAAAAAAATTGGCCTAACTTTTAGACTCAAAATCTCGTCTTTAAAGATCGATGTAAATTTACTGTGTAGATGGTGGTCCACTTAATGAAGTATTTGTCTGTATTTGTCTACATATACGTATACAGCAAAATATTTCATGATTGGACTACTTGTACGACTTAGTAGCCATTAAGATCCACGGATCAAATATGGCGGGCCCTACAATAAAGAAGAGCCGACAAATTCGCTGATGGTCTCCGCGCCTCCTCACGCACCGTCCTTGCAGGGGTCTAGCAATTAAACCTCTGAGCCGTGATTTAATCCGTTTAATGGGGCGTGCGGAGGCGGTAAGACCATCAGCAGATCAGTCGACTCTTCTTTCATGCAGGGTCCGCCATATTTGATCCGTGGATCAGAGGACCCTCGGATCTTCTGCTCTAGATGGGCTCTTACAGTCATTATCTTCGGCCAGAGACTAAATTAATAAACTAAAATTTGGGCTAAATATCTATTGTGAACCATGGCAAATCCCTGCTGGTCACTGCTGAGATACCTAGATCACGTGATCCACGACGTCCCGACGTCCTAGCTAAGACATTGGGAGTCCAGAAACGGAATCAAGGCAATTTATCTACTTATTCTCTATGAAATATAAATTCAATCGTACCTTCATGATGCAAAGGCCTATAAGCGCTGAGGTGAGAAGGACCAGAAGCAGTCGAAGTAACTTTCAAAACTTTTCAGTGTCCAACCCATATCTGTACCAACATTTTTTGCATTTCACTCTAATTCTCTCTCCAAGCGTGACCTATATTTCAATGTTTTTATAGGACTAGATGTTCCAAAATGCTATATAAACGCGATGATTTATTCTCCAATTATGCAAATTAATTAGACATCTTAAGTGTTTACATTTGACAATGAAAAGTGCCACTAAAACTTGTACTTAATGCATCCAATGCAAGGATGTAAATTAGAGCACCGCGTTCTCCCAATTTTGAATCTGGCTATTCTATTTTAACATAAAATTATTTTCTAAAAAATCATTCTGATAATTGTCACAATACATTGCGCATACAACTGGCTGAAGCAATGACCAATAAACAGTTTTAAAGTCACAGATGTGGAAAAATTCCTTTGGTAATGCACTATTAAGAAGGATAAAGTGATATACTAGTATCCAGTATAAGACCCCATTCCCATACCTAGATCGATCTAACGGGATCGGTCCACCTCGCTAAATTGCTTTCACCAGAAGCGACCTAGATGTCTGGTACGCCTACTAAAGCTGCTAAGCGATAGTGAATTACCCCCTAGCAGCTACAATAGGCGTGCCAGACATCAGAGCCGCTTGAGCTTAAAGCAATTTAGCGTGAATCCTCTCGGAGGTGGACCGATCCCGCTAGATCGATCTAGGAATGGGAATGGGGTACGACAGAACGAAGCAGAACGTGCACACTTATGGCCCAGTCACTGAAGTTTGCGGGGGAGACAGATAAAAAATATTCTCCCTTAAAGGGAATGATATGAATGTAAATAAAAGGGGAGATAAGAACGATTCAGGATTATATAGGTCCATGAAGATCAGACAAAATTTGTTTTAAAAAAACAGTCATTATCAGATTTTGACATTAAAAATTTTAAACAATCCACTTGATATGAGTTCGAATAAATTTATTATTATTATTATTATTATTTACTTATTATAATTACAATTATTAATGATGTTGTTGTTGTTGTTTTTATTATTCTTATTCTATTATTTATTTATGTAGTATGGAAACAAATGACAAGAGCAATTATTTCACTGTAATACGTGGGGTATTGCACATGTTCGAATACGTTTTGTGAGGGTGGGGCGTGGGTGGGGGGAGAATGGGCATATGCACCTCCGAATATTTCAAGATATGGGAGGCACGTGACCCTCTGTACTCCCCGGATTCCCCATTGCACTAAAACATTATAACCTATCCTACCTTCTCACGGGCACTCAAGTGACCTCAGTACCTGAACATATCTTAGAGACCACTCCAAGACCATATGGTATTAACTGTGGATCGATCTATCTCCGAGGGGATTCTCGCTAAATTGCAATCAACGTACGCGGCTTAGATGTCTGTCACGGCTACTGACGCTGCTGCGGGGTAATTAATTATCGTTAAGCAGCTTCAGACATCTAAGCCGCTTAATCTGAAAGCAATTTAGCAAGAAACCAACTGGGAGATGGATCCTATTAGATCGATCTAGGTATGGGAACCCAGTCCAAGAATAAAAATTTGCGGTGTGCGCATTACAGATATGTACAAAATAAGTATGCCGAGTTGTTAGGCCTACTGGGTCACAAAGATAACAGAAGAAAATATCTTTGTTCAAATAAAGCAACATAGACTTTGGTGCAGAGGACATTTTATATAAATCCTTTACCGTGTTAAATAGCACAAGACAATTTACTGAGTAGAACTTTTAACTAGTATTCGGTCATAATCAGCTGATGACTCTCGTGTCTCCTTACACGAATGGAAGTACGGAATCGGCCGAAGTTATCCGAACGTAAATATGTTGATGGAACAACATAAAAGTATATTTGGATATCTTGATATATCACGGTGTGTAACAAGTGTGGAATGTATTGAAAATATCCATCTACCATTAAGATTGTACTTTCTGTCTAGATCTGTCCGTCCGCTTGATCTGCTTCCGTACGTCAATTCATCCATCTAGTCATGTATCCATCTATACATCTATCTTTTTGTCTGTCTGTCTGTCTGCCCGTCTGTCTGTCTGTCTGTCCGATTGTCAATATCTGTCTGTCTGTATGTTCGTTTGTCTGTTCGTCCGCCTGTGTGTGTTTTCTGTCCGTCCAAGTTATACAGGCAGACACAATAACCATTTCAATAATCATTCGCTTTCATTGGCAGTGTTTTCTGAGAATATCTGTTTGTTTGTGCGTAGGAATCCATTGTGACGTTACAATGACGTCAGGTGGTAGTCCTCGATTTCTTTGGTGCTTGGAATCTTCACGATGAGATTTCCGTTTTTGGCGGTAGTTTCAGCTGTTGTGGATTTTTTCCTTGAAAATCTATTAAATATAATAAACAATGGATTAATCCGCAAATAAAGGCATTGATCGATCAATCAACAGCTGATTCCTCGTCAAACCATTTTGAAGCACATATGCATGCGCTGGAGTAGAACTAGCTCTGCTAGCAGATTTTGTTTGTACATTTGTACAGAACTTGTTTGCGCATTCTTTTCTAATTGAAGTTTGATCCAACCCACTTTGACGTGCACTTGATTTTATTTAATATGTCAAAAAAAAAAAATAATAATAATAAACCGATTTTGACATTTGTTACATAATGGTAGACTTAACTGTTTTAAAACTGTCGTTTTATTTGGTTCATATATTCATATCAACCAATCACTAGTTGCCTTAGATCCCATGTCAATATGCACCATCAGTCTACGTACATGTAGATCGATCCAACTACGCGGGGACTCCCGCTGAGTGCAACCAGCTTAACTGACTGACACGCCTTGTTCTGTGTCCAAAGTACTCGTCTAATCACCGGCTTTTCTGTATTTCACTCAACGTCAGGCTGTCCCCGCATAGTTGGATCGAACCACATTGGACTGATGGTGTCTGTGTGAATGGGGCCTTACTTGGTCAAGTTCTCGGCTTCCTCTATGGTCTCAGGAAGAGGCTTGTTGGCGGTGTCCGGAAGCAGAACCGCCAGGAGCCCCGTACACACGCAGAGCACGCCGAATATCAACAGCGGAATAGAATTGCCTATGGGTCCCTCAAACCTTGCCTCGTTCTGAAAGAAATGGCAAAGACTATTATTATACAAGAATATGGTGATTCGATGGAAAATTAAAAACACGGATATTGTCTTTAATGAAATTTTGAGGATACACTGAGAAAGGTTATGACATATCATATGATATGTGTGAGTGGATGCGCGCTTGTGGATATGAACATTATATGACCCTCAAAAAGGCATTACCGTCAAAAGAGGGGTTTTTAACACGTGTATGTATATTAAGCACGTGCACAAAAATCAACAGACTTGTGATAATAACTTGTCTCAAACTAATCCAAGAATGTGACTTACCACAATTATCGGCGACACTACTGCCCCCAGGCGGCCAATAGTGCTCACTACACCATAACAACGGTTCCTTGCCGCCGTTGGGAACATTTCAGCCGCCCAAATGAAGATGTCGCCGTAGGCAGAGGCCACGCCTATTTTACCAATAACATTTAGGGCAACGTAGATAGCTTGAGTTGATGAGATGTCTGAAAGTGAAAAAATTTACTGGTAGAAATCAAATATGATTGACAGGCATCAAGCTGCCTGATATCGTTAGTCTCATACTAAAATTAAATATTTCTTTTAGAGGTCCTCACTACTACTGATGGAATTTTGTAGGACAAAGCATAAAAAACGACGAACGCTGTTCGGGGAGAATCCAAATGTCAAAAAGGAGAAACATAGGCCTTTATTAATGCAACGTTCACGCGTTTAAAATTCGCACATTTCTCAAAACCCGCTCAGACCACGTGCCCACCTTGTTGCTATCACTTGGTAGCAACGACGCACCCACGTGATCTCAACGCGATGCCCTGATTGGCTGCTCACCTTTGTCAGCATACAGATCAACTAACACAGTTGCCAGCAGCGAGAGGCCAGCTAACAACATGCCGTGGATGTGAGGGATTTTTCTTCCTAATTTATCCATGGTGAACAACATAGTGAAGGCGGGGAGGTCGACCACTTGGATGAGGACATAGTTGACGTACAAGTCTCCCGGCAGCTTGCCGCTGTTGAGACTGATCCCCGCATACCCGAGACTGACGGAAAACCTTCAAGAAAATACAACATATCCAGCATTTCACTTATTTATTATTAATTGTGTTTGACATGGTGCCCGGTAAAATGATATCTTAAGCCAAAGAGATTCGAGCGTCAAAAAGGTCAAAAAAGAAGAAAATATGTATAAATGCAACGCTAATATCTTTTCCAAATCTAGACCTAATTTCTCTGCAATTTTTGCATTCTGGTTGAAATAATTATAAATTTCAAAGTGCCCAGTATTTCTGAAATATAAAAACGTACTGTTTAGCAAGTATTTAACACTCCATTAGAAACCTAAACGAAACCGAAAACATTCTAGAGCTAAATAGGCGTAAAAAGGATTCGAAGCCCACATGTCCTTTTTTTCCCTCTAGTTTTTAGTACCGTTTCACTCACCAATTCATGATGACAACCAACAGAGTCATCACTATCCGTGGTGACTTCAGGATCCTCAACCCGCCCTGGTCAGTCACCACGATCTCCCTACACGTGTTGTCCAGGACCTCGAAATCTTTCTCCACCAGGGGGCGACCGTTGACTTCCGATATGTATTTCATGAGTTTTTTTCCTTTTTCTCTGTTGCCTTTGATGTTTGACGTCAGAAGCCATCTTGGGGACTCGGGTATAATCCTGGCATGGAAGTTATTTCATTTTTATTAAATGATCAGTCAATTTATTTATTCATTTCTGTATGTATAATCTTAAAGTTTATGTATGTACCAATATGATCCTTTGATCACATTCAATTTATGATACTATGAACATTACAACTAGCAAAAAAGATCATTATTATTATTATTATTATTATTATTATTATTATTATTATTATTATTATTATAAGTTCCACTGCATGACTCTCTTTAAGACTCAAATCCAAAATTAATATTTTCTTTCTAGATTGCCTGTCATATGTCATTCGTGCAAAAACGTCAATGAATGGAAATCTAATTTAACAGTATCAAAATATGATCTGATCAATTTTCCTAACAACATGAACAGTGTCATAACAGAATCCCTATAACTCTCTACATTACTGTCGGGGGCATCAATGGAGGACACCACAGTCAACTTACAGACGAAATGAAAGTCCTTACCAAAAATAAGGAATAATGCTGAATATCGGAACCGAGGCTATGAGGAGGAGATGGTTCCAGTTTTTCACGGAATATGCTAGTCCCGCAGTGGAAACTGAGCCGACGATCCAGCTGTATTCAACCATAATACCCACCAGCATTCTTTTTGATGTGCCGACCAGTTCAAGAACTGCAAGGTTGAGAGAGGATATTAAATTAATATTAATAATGGTACTAGTATCAGGCCCGTAGCCAGCAATTTCAAAGGGGGGGGGGGTCTTTTTCTGAAAAAGTGGACCTTTTACCGAAAAATCCCCATGTACTTATGTCAAATTTTACTCAGAGTAGACCTTTTTTCAGCAAAAGGGGGTTCTTTCGAACCTCTTGAACTCCCTATGGCTGCGGGCCTGTTTATTTATTTATTTATTTATTTATTTATTTATTAAGATTTTCTATTATTATCCTTTTACGGATTCGCTCTATTATTTTATATAAAATGTAACTTAATGTAGTAATTGAGGCAACACGTCAGCTTGTAATGTGANCCCCCCCCCCCCCCCCCCTGGCTACAGGCCTGAGTGAAATATACGTGACTGAAAAGTGTAGAACAGTTTCATGAGCTATGTTATTGTAATAGACTTGTGAAGATTCTTTTGCTGGTAAGATCAGACAAATAGAAGTAAATATAGACAAAAGAATCTTCACAAGTCTGTGACTGAAAAGGTCCTAAAATCCAATGGGTACGCCATATTTCGAAGATGAGTTCAAAGTTTTGGTCAGGCCTGTGTTGTGTGATCTGACGTGTGTACGCAAATATTTTAAAGAGCACTGTACATTGTACGAAGGTTCTTCCCAGCAGACAAACGACATTGATTCACCGTTGAATCAACGTTAATTTTGGTGGATCAACGTTGAATCAACGTAGAATCAATGTCGTTTGCCTGCTGGGTTATTCCTCTATAAAACATACTGCTGACATTTGAATTTAAGTCACTGTTAAACTTGGGTCCCATTCACAACATTAGACTAACTAATCCGCGGATCAAATATGGCCGACCCACTTGAATGCTTGTTGCGCAATCCCCGCGGGAAATCTATCCAGTGTCTATTATGGGATAAGACAGCAAGCTTTTAAGCTGGTCGCCATATTTGATCCGCAGACAAGTTGGTCCGCTGTTGTGAATGCGTCCTTACTGAGGTTCAGCCCCGCCCCGAATGTTCCACAGATGCAGAGGCCGACCACGAAGCGCATGAAGGCGAATGAATGATGGTCGGGAGCAAACGCCGAGCACACCCCGAATAGAGCCCCCAGCAACGTAGATATGAGATATATTGGTTTTCGACCAAACCTAAGATGAATCGAAGCTGAATAAATGATACATGATGATATGATAAAGAGTTGAAAATAATTACACATTTACAAGTATTTTCGTTATTTTTCAATGATGGCTTCATTTAAATTCTGATGTTTAAAGCCACTAACGGAATTATTGGAAGTCATTAAAACTTTTTTCACTTATTAATTAATTAAATTTCAACACCGTATTTTAATGTCAATACAGTTTAGTTTTTAGTGTTTGGTCTCAAGGTACTGGTATTAATAATTCAAATGAAATTTTCACAATATTTAAATGTTTTAAGTCGAGCACTGCTTTTGAAAAGCAACTGAGTTTCAACACTTACGAGTGCATATAACATATCATCATTTCATCACGAGAGAGAGAGAGAGAGAGAGAGAGAGAGAGGACACCATCTTAAGTCTTACCTATCTGCCAGCAGACCAAAGAACAGCGGGCCCACCATCTGTCCACTGAAATGTGCCATCTGGGCCACGGTCTCCCTAGGCCGGTTATCACAGACAAAATTGAGCTGGAACAAAATGAACATTTATTGTCTTAAAACATTTTCTTACTTGTGGAGAAAGAAATTCATTGAATTCCAAACGACACACTTTAAAATCATTCCATAATTAATCACCTTTTCTAGTTTTCAAAGCCAGTGGACAGGGAAAGAAGAAATTGGGTTTGTTTCGTTACGCCTGTGCCCCCCCCCCCCCCCCCCCCCACCGTCGTCCTGGATCATGGAAATATATAGTATATTTAAATGGCTGATTCGACCATTGTAGCAGTAAACATGTACAAATGTATGAGGGCACTAGTTTTACGTGTGTTCAGTGTTAGATAATTCTCTATCGTTTAGAAGTGTTCTATAATTTGAATGCATACTAATACGTGGTGTCTGTAATATTTGCCTGTTGATTGAAGAAAAAATTACTTATATCGGCGAACCATTTTAGCAGTCTGGGCTTGGCCAAGAAATTATTAAACTTTTTTGGACAGGAAAATATGACCCAGTCTTTGTATGTTATCCACCCCACCCCACCCTGCACCACGCCACCTTGCACCCACCCTACACCCGCCCTACATCCTCCCTTCACCCACCCTACGCGCACATACACCACCCTGCACCCACCCTGTACCCACCTTGCACCCACCCTCCACCCACCTTACCTCGGACTGAACGGTAACGTCCATCATTGTTTTACCATACACCCAGCTACTGCACTTCTCCTGGGTACTGTTCACACTGGTGGCAGCGGTGCCGTTGTGTGGGACATACAAATAACAGCTAGAGTGCGCGTCCTCGAGGCCCGTGCCGCCAGGAATAGAGGCGTTGATCAGTTCGTCATGCCACAGACCCTGGGATTCGTACGTGTCGTTTGGTAGGCCTGGGATTGCACATCTGAAACATAAGCGAAAATGCAACATGGCGACACTCTCTAAATCTGTTAAAAATTTGGCATTCAACCAGTTTGGTATCTGTTACACCAGCTAGAAGGATTAATGCTTGAAAGTACTTTGGCGACGCTAGAAATTATATTTATAACCTCAGTTCAGGTACAAACAAAACACAACATTACACATTTTAATGTTAAAACTGGATTAATGGCCATGGACACGGTTTCTCCAACCAATATTGAGCCCCCCCCACCCCCCACCCCCACCTCCGCCAACAAACGCCTCCCCCGTCTCAACCTCTCCCCCCACATCCTACATGTACGGTCGTGATACATGTTTTTTCATGCCTTAGGCTAACCGTGCACCATAGGGCCCATTCCCAATAAACCCACGTTCTATCACGGTACGTAGGTCGATCCAAGTCCAAGGGGACTCTTGCTGAAGCAAACAGTTTAACAGATTAACAGGCCTCCTATTGCTTCCAACGTATAACGATAGTTTCATTGGGAATGGCCCCTTGAATGACCAGCAGAGCTAGGCCTTACCTGTGAGGCAGAGTGTAGTGTTTGAAGACGACACTCACTGCCTGCACGGCGATGATTACGAAGGGAATCATCACCAGGAACTGGGTTCATAACGTTTTTAGTAATATTAACGTTCTGGTAACGTTATGGTAACGTTATGATAACGATCTGTGTTTGCTGGGACAGCAGCGCTAGGACCTACCTATGGGGCAGTGTGTAGTGTATGAAGACGACGCTCATGGCCTGCACGGCGCTGATTACGAAGGGAATCATCACCAGAAACTGGGTGCGGATCTGGTACCGGCCAAAGGCACCCAGCTTGTTGAAGAGATCGTCGATCACCTCGCCCTCATTCATACTGGTGGGGTGTTCCTTTCCTGGGATAAATAGAGAGATAAATAAACAGAGAGAGAGAGAGAGAGAGAGCAGGCCCGTAGCCAGCAATTTCAAAAGGGGGTTCTTTTTCTGAGAAAGTGGACCTTTATCAAGAAACCTTCGCTATACGAGAGAGAGAGATGGAGAGAGAGAGAGACATGAATGACGAACTTGGTTGATAAATTAACAGATAAATAACCATGCACATGATGTTTGTGTAATTGAATTAGAAAATAATCGGATAAATTAACAAACAAATGAATGAATAAAAAATTAATGAATGAATTAATCCAACATTCAGGTTGCTGATTAACTTTGGCATTGCTGCGCTTCCAAACAATATAGCACATATAGGGATAATAAAGGCATATGCCTTTCCCCTCTGACATCGGCTGTATACTAGATCCATATATCAAGCGCTCTCTTAAGTAGCAGTACGATATCAATACGAGCAACATTTTGTATGCAGAAGTTTACAACGCAATCCTTCATCAAAATGCACTTTATATGTTGTAAACAAAACACGAGTTAATATGCTTTATCTTGTGTGCCATCATATACATGCGCATTGCATACTCATAACGCGCACAAAAGTATGGTACTCTACACTTACTATGATGACTAGAAACCCAAGTTCTGATAATCATGAACTGGTGAAAACTGAAGCAGAATTAGACCTGAGACTGTTTAATTGACTATTAGGTAATGTGTGTTTATATTTCTCACTCCTCTGACTCCGAGCTGTTTTGACACGGTTGTATATATCTTAGGCGTGAGTGGGATGGTTTTTTCCATCCAGAAATGAAAAATAAGCAAACAGTCTTATAAATAGATCAATGAATAAACAAACACTCGAAGGAATAAATAGATTGGTAAGTGACTAATCAGTCAGTGCCTATATAAACAAGAGAATAATTTAAATAAATAAATAAAAATGAATAAACAAAAACAGCATAAGTGAATAAACAAACAATTGCAATGAAGTGAATAATTTGGTTAATAAACATGATGGATAAACAACCAATCTAATGAATAGAGGCATACCCACATGTAGATGAATAAACAATCGAAAATTAAGATAAATGTATGGATAAATAAAATCCCAACTATATGACTAAACAAACAAAAAAGTTTTAAATAGAAAACAAAATAAAGACCCAAGCCAACAGGTTCATAAATAAGTACCAATAAACAAACAAACGGCTAAAAATAGGACAGGGATATCTAGATAAACAAATATATAAATTTATGATGGGTTGCAAAGACACACTGACCTCAGTCAAAATAAAGCAATGAAAAGTTGTTTT